ATTGGAGAAAGTGGAGGGCGGCGCGGGAGGGAGAATTTGCTCAGTCTGGCCTGGTGGCACTGTTTTATTAATGATCTGGAAGAGCAGAGGAACAGTGATTTTCATTAAATATGCCAGTGATATTAAAAGATGTCAGGAGCCACTGCTGAGGACACAGACACCTTGCAGACGGCCCCTGGGGGCGTTAGGAAAATAATTCAGGAAAAAGATGAGAGGCTGTGGGCTGAGCTGAGGGGACAGAGGGTCATCATAGGCAGAATGTACCCTAGGCCCACCCTCTTTGTCTGTATCCGTTCTGTTTCCGATAGATTTCAAACTGATCTTCCTGCCTTGGTTTTCTTCCTCCTACAGCCATCCTTAAACGCTTTAGCCAAATTGGTTTTTCTGAAATACAGATCAGACCATGTCATTCTCCTGTTCAGAATCCTATCATTGGCTTTTCACTGCCCTTAGGATAAAAAAATCCCATCTTCTCAGCCTGGCATATAAGACTTGCCGTGAATTGGGTCCTCCCTCTGTGACCAGCCTCATCTTCTGCCCCTCCTGCCTCGCACTGAATTCCTTGTAACCCTGTGCACACAGCAGGCTTTTCCACGGCTTCGTGTCTTTGCTTGGGCTGTTCTCTTTGACTCAAGTGCCCTTCCCACTTTCTTTCTTTTTCTTTCTTTCTTTCTTCTTCTTCTTTTTTTTTTAAACTAAAGCTCACTCATGCTTGAAGCCTCATTTCAGGGATCACTTTCTTCAGAACGCCTCCTGAATCCCCAAGCTGGCTCAGTGCCCTCCTCGCGTACGGCAGCATTCTGCCCATACCTTCACTGACAAAGGTAGAAGTGCCTATATGTGCAGCTCTCCACCCCTGCTAGATGGTACCTTCGAGGGCAAACCTTGTATCATTTTTTATTTTGCCCACTGGCATCTAGTACCAGGCCTGGAGAATCATAGGCGTTTGTTAATGTTTGTCAAACTGAACTGATGGGAAGGAGAATATTCGGGTGGGAGATGGCCTCGGGCAACCAGGACACCCCCAGGAAACCTGGGGACCAGGCAACTCTACCAAAGGGTTGGTCTCTCCTGTGAGGGTACGTGAGGCAGTCATATTGTTTCTAAGTCCACAGAAGACTGGAAGCTGATGGGGGCTCGTGGACATTCTGCAACAAATTGGGACATCCTAGTAAAGTGGAGTGGTTAAGACCATAAATTTTATGTCATCTGTGTGTGGGCTCTGGCTCTGCTACTTCTTTGCTTTATGCTTTGAGTAAATGACTCAAATGACTTAACTAAGACTCAGTTTCCCAAAATGTAAAAGAGGGATAAAAATAGTACTAATCTCATAGGGTTGTTCTGAAGATGAAATGGGATCATACTTTATGCATACAATAAGCACTTTTAAGTGTTAGTTACAATCATTAATATCTTCCTTATTTGGGGTGGTTCTTGGGGGTCTCAAGCTGAGTCACCTCCCTGACTTAGGGCTGATTAAAAGCCTTCTGGAGCCACCAAATATCACTTGGGTCTCTGAGGGACTGCATGGACCCCCCAGGAGGTTGGGATCTGTCTCAGTTGGTGTCTGAGGCTGGGGCAATGGCACAAAAAGATGACTGTTGGCTTGTTCATCAGAGACGTCCCCTCTCCCTCTAACTTCTCAGGCAGAAACCATCTCCTGGTAGGGCCGGAAAGAACAACTGGGCATCCACGGCTCGTTTTCCACCTTCAGTTCCAAAAACTTGATGCAGGCAATTCTTAGCCACCTTCTTGCCTTGTTTTCTTTTATCCTTTCCTTCAATTCATTTGTTTTGGTCAGGGAACAGCCTGATTCTGACCACATGATAGCATAGTCCCCATAAAAACCTATTGCCACGTGTGTCTGTAGGACCAAGGGAAATAAAGGCTGTGATCCTGCTTAATTATCCAGGTAGGTAAGATCAGTAGGAATCCTCGTCCCCCTTTGATCAGGATAACTCTACTATCTCAATGTTACATGTCCCCTGACTGCAGCAGGCCAGCCCTCTTCCCTAACCTGTGGATAGCCCACCCCTGTGGGCTTGGCCAGCCATGCAGCTGCCACCGCCTGTCACCATGTTGGCTCTTGATCAAAGAGCTGCTCCAGCTGTGCCCACCTTCTGTCTCCTCATGTCTGGGGCTTATCAGAATTCACAAAGTGTTGTGTTTTCAGAGGTCAAGGCAAGGAGCCAAGATCTGTCTCTGTCTACATTTCTCTGGCTAGGTGAGTGCCAAACCTATGAATAGGGTCACTGTGTGCATCACAGATTATGAGGGCTTTGAATATGGATGCTGAACACCTTCAACCTCTCTACTCCTCCATGGTCATTGTCATAGCCTCTTCTCCTCTGAGTGAGGTCAAAGCTCCAAGCACCTTCTGGGATGACCCCCAGTACCTGGACTAATGGGGAACGTGGTCCTCAGCAGTTGGCTCTGTGGATTAACGAAACCAAGTTAATCCACAGAGCCCTTTGGGAGGAGGGCCTTCAGGATTACAGTATGCACCAGGGTGTACTGTGTCCCAAAGGGAATTTCTCTTTGAGTTCAAGCCTTGGGAATTTAAACAGGTCCTACATAGCCTCTAAAATCTAGTCCGGATTTGTCTATGAGATTTTTTTTTTCCTAAAGCAAATGGCTGTAATTCAGATTGTAAAATGACTTTAAAGAAGGCTGATTTCTGAGTTTATTAGTCTTCTCAGGCTACCATAACAAAATACCATAGACTGAATGGGTTAAACAATAGAAATTTATCGGGAGGCTGGGATTCCAAGATCAAGATACTGGCCAATTTGGTTTCTGGATAGAGGTCTCTTCCTGGCTTGCAGATGACCACTCTCTCCCTATGTCCTCGCAAAATGGACAGCTCTCTCTCTCACGCGCGCGTCTTCTTATAAGGCCACCAATCCTATTGGATTAGGACCCCACCCTTATGACTTCATTTCACCTAAATTACCTCCTAGAAGTCCTATCTCCAAATAAAGCCACAGTGTGGATTAGGGCTTCAAAATAGGAATTTGGGGAGGGGCACAATTCAGTCCATAGCACTGAGGAAGCTTCCCTCAGGGTCACATTTATTTATTCCCAAACATACGTTTACTGAGCATCTAACTAACTACTTAGGATACTGTGATAAACAGAATAGACGTAATCTTTGCCTTTATGTCATTCATAGTTTAATGGATGAGTTAGTCATTAATCATATAATCCTACAAATACCCATGTAATTTCAAAATGTTATAAGTGCCACGAAGGAAAATTAAAGAGGGAGTTGACCATTTTTAGGGTGAACATAAGTTTTTCTGAGAGAGTGACACTCAAGCTGAGATCTAAAGCATTGTTAACAGTGGGGGTACGAAGAAGGAACAGTCATTTTGGTCGTGGGTGATGTTATGGGCAAAGGTCCCGAGGTGGAAAATAAGTTGATGTACTCTAGGACCTGATATGGCCGTTATTGCAGAAATGCAGTGAGAGGGACAGTGGCAAGAGCTGAGGGGGAAGAGGAGGAAGAAAGTAGCTCGTGCGAGGCTTGGCGGGTCATGGTAAGGATACTGGTCTCTATATTAAGAGCGAGGGGAAAATACTGAAGGACTTCAAATGGGGGAGTGAGAGCATAGGTTTGGGTTTTTTAAAGAAAAGATGACTGTGGCTATATGAGAAGATGGAATAGAGAATGGTCAGAGCTGGAGTGAGTTCAGTAAGGAGGTGACTGTAGTAGATTGATCTGGTGAGGAGTAAGGGGCCTTGGGCTGTGATGGTGGTGAGAGAGTTGGGGGGAGAGTTGGTAGGGTTTAGTGCTGGACTGAAGAAAGAAAGGTTTGCAGACAGGCAGCGATTTTTGAGCATGAGAAACCGGGTGAATGGAAGTGCTATTTTCTGAAATGGGAAACAGCGGAGAAGAAGGAGGAGCAGGTAGGGAAGAGCAGCATTCCTCCATTACTAACAATACCCCTACATGGTTACAGCAGAGGTGGAAAAATGGGCAAACTGCTTATTTTCAGGTATTGAATATTTGCTTCCTCATTCCATCTGAATGAGGCAATGAGTAGAAAGAGAAGTCTGTAGTTTCAGCTGAGTTTCTTCCATTCTTCTGAACTCATGCTCACCTTTTAGTGCTTTGAGACCAGCAGAGGAGGCTGCATTTCACCCCCAAAATCTTGCCTACAGATGAAAAGAAACTTATTTGAGAGCCACTTGCATGTTATTTATAGTGCTTTCTACCACCTGGCCCTTTCAGTGTTTGGGTTTGGAATTTGAGTGGCTGACTGATCTTCACCTTCCTGTAACTGGATACCTAAACTCTTTCATAAGCATGTTTTGCTGGAGGGCTAAGGACTGCCGTGGACTGGTCTTGGGCACAGCTTACAGGGCCTCAGTTTAGCTATATGGCAGGTAATATTCACTACAGAACATCTCTTGATTTCCCAAGCGATCTCAGAATTACAGCTTGCCTCCCTAAATTTTCCATATGGGGAAGGAGCTTTTCCCAACCAGGCTCAACTGCACACAGAGCAAGGTGTTCTATTTGGGGGGGAGTAGCCCAGGAAAAAAGTTCAATATGTACTCCTGCAAACCTATGTTACGCAAGATTCTTGAGTATCTTAAGTACGATGACAGTGTGGTAAGGAAGGCTGAAAACTCTAGAAACAGCAGAAGTGAGGATGAAGATTCATGTCATACTTGGCCAATTTTAAGTTGATTGTTGAGAACTCTCACAGATAACAAAGGGGTTGGGAGACAGAACTAAAAGGGTACCACTTAAGTTTCCAGTACCAATATTCCCAGCTATTTTAAGCCATTTTTCAACAGTCTACCAGAGGGTTCTGAGGACAGAGCAGCTATTTGTACCTCCCAGTGACATCTATTTTTCCAAGTGAGAGACTGCCCAATGTGTTAGTGCAATACGTCACTCAAGGTGAAGCGTCAGTTTGAATTGGTGGGAACCTGCCATTTGCTGTCCTCCTTTTCTTCATGCATTTTTCTGCCCCTCTGATCTCTTCTAGGTCTCTGGACTGTCAGGTGGACCATTGGTGCTGCAGTGGAAGCCAGCGGCTAAGTCTTGTGTATGGCGTGGTTAAGGCTGCAGCCTCTTACCTCTGCCTTCCTCCATTTTGGGCTGATTACCTTTGTGCTCTTCCTGAATGGTCTTCGGGCAGAGGCTGGCGGCTCAGAGGATGTGCCCAGCACAGGGCAGAACAATGAGTCCTGTACAGGGTCATCGGACTGCAAGGAGGGTGTCATCCTGCCAATCTGGTACCCAGAGAACCCTTCCCTTGGAGACAAGATTGCCAGGGTCATTGTCTATTTTGTGGCCCTGATATACATGTTTCTCGGGGTGTCCATCATTGCTGATCGCTTCATGGCATCTATTGAAGTCATCACTTCTCAAGAGAGAGAGGTGACTATCAAAAAGCCCAATGGAGAGACCAGCACAACCACGATTAGGGTCTGGAACGAAACTGTCTCCAATCTGACCCTTATGGCCCTGGGTTCCTCTGCTCCTGAGATCCTCCTCTCTTTAATTGAGGTGTGTGGTCATGGGTTCATTGCTGGTGATCTGGGACCTTCTACCATTGTAGGCAGTGCAGCCTTCAACATGTTCATTATCATTGGTATCTGCGTCTACGTGATCCCCGATGGAGAGACTCGCAAGATAAAGCACCTCCGAGTCTTCTTTGTCACTGCTGCTTGGAGCATCTTTGCCTACATCTGGCTCTATATGATCCTGGCCGTCTTCTCTCCTGGTGTGGTCCAGGTTTGGGAAGCCCTCCTCACTCTCTTCTTCTTTCCAGTGTGTGTCCTTCTGGCCTGGGTGGCAGATAGGCGACTGCTCTTCTACAAATACATGCACAAAAAGTACCGCACAGATAAACACCGAGGAATCATCATAGAGACAGAGGGTGGCCACCCCAAGGGCATCGAGATGGATGGGAAAATGATGAATTCCCACTTCCTAGATGGGCATCTGGTGCCCCTGGAAGGGAAGGAAGTGGATGAGTCCCGCAGGGAGATGATCCGGATTCTCAAGGATCTGAAGCAAAAACACCCAGAGAAGGACTTAGATCAGCTGGTAGAGATGGCCAATTACTATGCTCTCTCCCATCAACAGAAGAGCCGCGCCTTCTACCGGATCCAGGCCACCCGTATGATGACTGGCGCAGGCAATATCCTGAAGAAGCATGCAGCAGAACAAGCCAAAAAGGCCTCTAGCATGAGCGAGGTGCACACTGATGAGCCGGAGGACTTTGTCTCCAAGGTCTTCTTTGACCCGTGCTCTTACCAGTGCCTGGAGAACTGTGGGGCTGTGCTCCTGACAGTGGTGAGGAAAGGGGGGGACATGTCCAAGACCCTGTATGTGGACTACAAAACAGAGGATGGTTCTGCCAATGCGGGGGCTGACTATGAGTTCACAGAGGGCACTGTGGTTCTGAAGCCAGGAGAGACCCAGAAGGAGTTCTCTGTGGGCATCATTGACGATGACATTTTTGAGGAGGATGAACACTTCTTTGTGAGGTTGAGCAACGTTCGCATAGAGGAGGAGCAGCCAGGGGAGGGGATGCCTCCCAGAGTACTCAATACTCTTCCCTTGCCTCGGGCTGTCCTGGTGTCCCCTTGTGTGGCCACAGTCACCATCTTGGATGATGATCATGCGGGCATCTTCACTTTTGAATGTGACACTGTTCATGTCAGTGAAAGTATTGGTGTCATGGAGGTCAAGGTTCTGCGGACATCAGGTGCCCGGGGCACAGTCATCGTACCCTTTAGGACAGTAGAAGGGGCCGCCAAGGGTGGTGGTGAGGATTTTGAAGACACATATGGGGAGATGGAGTTCAAGAATGATGAAACTGTGTAAGTAACCTTTCCACAGTCCATCTGCCTCCGTCCCTTGCCGCCCCCTTCTCTCCTGCACCACGTTTTAAAACTTTTTCTTGTATTTGCGTTAATGTCAAACTTTGGTTCCATCACAGGTATGCAGGATCAGCAGACCCTCCTGCCAGGTTCTGCTTCCAAAATCTCCTTCAGCTTTCTCACTTTAAATTGTTTATGGGCAAGGAATCCTGTGGCAGGATCTAAGGACGTAGAACATTTTGTCCACTGAAACTCAAAATGATGGCTGGTGGAGGTGTGGGATGACAGAAGTTCTGATATCAGATTTGGGGGGTTCTTGTGAATTCTCCTAGCAAGAGCTAGGAGACTGCTTGGGTCTCTCCTTCCTCCTTTTCTCAGGCCAAGGGCTTACATGAGCTTTGAAGCCAATCCTTTCCATTCTGAGACGGTGGTAGCCCAATCAGGACATCCTCAAGAAAGTGAGTGGCATTGGCTTTTTTTTTCCAGTACCACATTGCAATTGTATTGTATAAGCAGATTTCAGGCACCTCTCCTTCAATTTGGAAATTGCAAAATTGATTGAAACTTAGCAGTCTCTTTAAACACCAATAGGCTATTTTATGGTGCGAGGCTTGCCCAGTTTAGGTGAGATGAATCAGTATGGCTTGGGTCCTGGAGGTATCTTGGAGAAGCAGAGCTCCCAGGGCAGCGGCCACCTGTCTTCAGTCACAGGTCTAAGCTCCAAAATCTGGCTAAGCAGTGGAGGAGAAGCCTCTTAGGAATTGTGGGGGAAAAACACATCTTCTGTGTGGTCATCTCTTTTCATAGTCCAGAGTTCTCCTAAAATAATTCTCAGGTTACTGCCCCATTTAGTCCTTCAGACACTGTGGGTCTTGCACTTCTATTGCCTTTGTCACTCTGAGGCCTCTCCCCATTGAAACATCTTGTACTGGGTATTCAGTCCTGTTCTCCGATGGATATCTTTAAAGAAGATAGCAGACTGACTCTCCCCAGGATTTGTAGCTTATGAGAGGGCAGACTTTCCAAGGTGGCCAAGAAGAAAGGGGATGAGAAAGGGGAACATTGGTCTCAGAATTCCTGCTCACATCCACGAGCAATAAGCAGTAGAGGGGAAGGTGTGAAGAACAAAAGGGGGCATATATAGACAGTGGGAGAAGTCAAACTGCTCCAAGAACCTGCTAAAACCACTTTCAGTGGGAAATGAAAACTCTCATCTGTAATGTGGGAATAACAATACTTTCCTTGCCTCAAGGCTGGGCTCGTCTCTTTTTGCAGTTCCTCCCAGCTGTAGGATTTTCTGAACTATAGACATAGGCTCTCATACCCACAGCAGCCAAAGATGGAAGGGGGGATACTGTTTTCTGAAATGAAATGGCCATTGACAAATTGATTTATTGGAGCTCTGTTTAGTCATTTTGCTGGGAAGGATAATAACTTGTTAACGTAAGTAAAAACCTGTGCCTTCTAGAGAATACTATCCATTTATATACATACAAATGAAGGCCCTCGCTGGGAGGAAAAACTCCATGAAATTTCACACGTATTTATGGCAATGTCAGTAGATGAGAAGTTATCGTCAGGCATTAAATGACATCAAGCACAGCATTGGCCATAACTGGACAGACTTGGGGTTCCTCCTATTCAGTACCTGTCTACCGAGGGAACTGAAGGGTAGTTTTTGAGAGATCAGAAGTTGAGCTCCCAATTTCTTCACCTCATTCATAATCAGTTGTGCACCTAGGATCCCTAAATATGACTAAACCTGCCTCAGACCTGTGTGCATGTTCAGCTTGATTACTGTCTTGGTGTAAAGGAGCCTCATGAATTATCGCTTCTGGGTGATGTTTGTTCTAAATGTATGTGCCCTTCCACACGTTTGAGATGCTGGTCCAGGGTATTGTAGGGTTTCCCATCTATTCCTTTGCATTAGTTTTTAGACTTCAGTAGACTTTAGACTACCCTCTTGGCCTTCTTCATTGCAGAAGAATGAGTCCAAAGCCTGCTAGTCTCTTCTCACAAAAGGAGCCCTACCTTTGATACTTTAAATTGTAATTTTACATCTAGAGGCAGTATGATACAGCCAAAAAAACCCATGGGCTCTAAGTATAGTACTCTGGGTTAGGATTCTGGCTCTACTACTGATTTAACTATGTAGTTTGGAGAAATTTTATTAACTTAGATTATTTCCTCATTGAAAAAATGGGGATAATAATGTCTCTCCTGCAGGGCTGTTATAATGATTCAAGATATTATATGCAGTGTTCCTTGTACATGGTATGTGCTCAGTAAACAAGGCCATTAATAGTAATATCAATGAATTAACAATATTCTTCAGAAGACACCATTGATCCAATCAGGTTACCTGATTGGATCTCTGTGTGACCCTAATTAATAAGCATGCAAGTTTTTTGGTTACCATGAAGATTACTAATCTAAACTCATAAAATACTGGAGCCAGAAGGGACCTCAGAATATCTTCCAGGTATCATAGAGCAGTGCTTCTCAAATTTTAATGTGCTCATGAGCCGCTCAGGGATCTTGCTAAAACGCAGGTTATTATTCCAAAGGTCCAGAGTGGAGCTTGAGATTCTGCATTTCTAACAAGCTCTTGATGCTACTGGTGCCAAGTTAGAGTTGAAAGGCTCTAAAGCTCTTGACCAAACCATGAAACCCAGGAAGGAAAGTGGGTTTTCAGATGACTTTCATGATTGGATCATGAATGCTTGCTTTCCAGTTCCAATGTTCAACTTCATCTTATCTAGAATCTAGCTCTTACCCTGAGACCCTGCTAATCGCAATACCGATCTGGAAACTGAAATTAAAACCCTCAGGAGGACTTAGACAGAAGCTGTGTGATGCCTGGAACGATTTTACTTTCTAATCCTTCTCTCTTTGTGTAGCTTTTTTTGCCCACCAATCCTGGTAGCACTGTCACTTTTGCCCTCACCATACTCCTCTGAATCTATTCAGGATGAAGCCAGGCCTATGCTCTTATCAATAATACTAGGTCCGTGAATTCACTCATTTGGTTTTGTGCTTTACTTCTTCAAAGGTGTCCTTAGCACCGTGGTAGGATGAGAAAACATGAACTTTGGCGTCTGACAAACAGGTGCGAATCCATCACTCACCAGCTGTGTAACTTGTAATGAGTCACTTCAGCAGTCTGAGCCCAGATATTTTGTTGGAATGATAGGAACAATAATATCTATTCTTCAGGATTGTGATAAGTACTACATACAAATATGAAGAAAATGCACCTTTAGCACAGTGCCTGCTCATCAAAGGTGCTCATTCATTCAGCAGACAATCTGCTACATCCTAGGTACATTACTAGGTGCCGGAGAGAAATAAGTGATTAAGATAAGCTGCATTTCAGCTCCCAAGGATCTTATTCTCCAGTGGAGTGGACACAAGGTGCACACACAAATCAAAACACATGGGAGAAGTATGGTTGAGATAAGCTCAGTAAGAGGGGGAATGAAACTCCTCATTGTGTGTGTGTGAGACACCACTGAAGATTTTTGTTTTTTTTTTTAAATTTATGTATTTACTTATTTTTGGCTGCGTTGGGTCTTTGTTGCTGCGCGCGGGCTTTCTCTAGTTGCGGCAAACGGGGGCTACTCTTCGTTGCGGTGCGCGGGCTTCTTATTGCAGTGGCTTCTCTTGTTGTAGAGCATGGGCTCTAGGCACGTGGGCTTCAGTAGCTGTGGCTCGTGGGCTCTAGAGTGCAGGCTCAGTAGTTGTGGCGCACAGGCTTAGTTGCTCCACGGCATGTGGGATCTTCCTGGACAAGGGCTCGAACCTATGTCCCCTGCATTGGCAGGTGGATTCTTAACCACTGCACCACCAGGGAAGTCTGACTAAAGTTTTTTCTTTTTTTTTTTTTTTTTTGCGGTACGCGGGCCTCTCACTGTTGTGGCCTCTCCCGTTGTGGAGCACAGGCTCCGGAAGCGCAGGCTCAGCGGCCATGGCCCACGGGCCCAGCTGCTCTGCGGCATGTGCGATCCTCCCGGACCAGGGCACGAACCCATGTCCCCTGCCTCAGCAGGCGGACTCTCAACCACTGCGCCACCAGGGAAGCCCTGACTAAAGTTTTTAAAGTCACCTTCATTAAGGATGTAGTAGTGAAGTAGATGAAGTGGGGCGGGGGGTGGGTGGAAACATGATTACTTTAAACCCACGTTACAATAAACTCGTGATGTTTGAGAGGGATACTACTGACATCTTCGCGCTCCAGAAGAATCCATACCCTTGTGACTACCACTGCAGCACATCCTGGGAATAATAGCCTCTGAGCCTCCTGCAGATAATAATAAAGCCTCACCGAGATACGGGTGCTTGCCAGCACATTAATCTCACTCACTGAACGTGTGGCTGGCTCCTGTATCCCAGGCTCACAGTGTGCCTCTGCAAAAATAAGATTATTGCGACTCATTGACCTTTGGAGTCTCTGGGAATAGTCAAAGCCACAGATGTCAAGATCTACTATAATTAAATAGCATAGGCCTCCTTCAAAGAAGAATCGAGTATTAGCTGTACCATGCATTTTCCAAGCAAATTAGGACGTTAAAACTGGAAGGTATCTGACCTCCCAGTTTTACAAATCATGAAGTTGAGAATAAGAGATGTAAAGTGACTTGTCCAAGATCACACAGGTAGATATGATAGAAAGTTAGACTTCTAGATAGAAAGGACTTTTTAGATGCTACTGATTTAATGTCTCCCCCTCCCGATTTGGACCTTTCCATTTTATTTTTATCCATCAAAATCTCAACTTCGGAAAGAATATGGAAATTCTTGGGTGACAGATGCTCTGGAAGTGCACATCCAGAAGTGTTATGTGACTAATGTCTTAACTAAGAATAATAATATATTATGGACTATTTTTAATCTCTTGGTTCACCTTGAAACTGTTGAAGGAAAATAGTGAGCCCATAGAAAAGTTTTTAAAAGCTTTGTCTTAGTGATCTCTTGCTGAGGGAGACATGTGTAGCTGAGAC